AACCCCCAGTGCTCCCTTCCATGCAGACAGGCCAGAGCTGGACATCAGGAGCAGCACAATGGTGGGTACACAGCTCTCCAGTGGGCTCTCTCAGTCCACCCCCCTGAGGAGGGTTCCCTGTGTCCAGGCCATACGCTTAAGAAACGGGAGACACAGCCCTACACCAAGCCCTCTCCGGAAAAGATCTCACTGACCAAGACTAGGTCTGAGCCAAGAAATAGTCTTTAAAGAAGGCAGGAAAGCCTACCTAGGGAAGGCAGGCACAGGCTGTGTGTAGCACCAGCCAGCCAAGAGGCAGGCAGGCAGGCACTCAGAACATGAAGGCAATCCCACGCCAGTACCAGAAGCTCTCCTTCTGGTCCAAACAGCCTCAGTTTGGCAGTGAGCCCCCCAGACCTTACCTCACTGCTGGTGGGAACTGGCACCACCAGCCACTTGTGTCCCCCAAACCACTTCCCTGCAGCAGGACCAGGAGCAAAACCACACGCCACAGACAGGAGTGGGACTTCCTTAAGCAGTGGCACAGGTACAGCTTCTTTAGGTCAGGTCTGTTGGGGAGTTTGTGCTTGTTTGAGCCCGCTGGGCTCTGCCATGGGTTGAACACTCTCCAGCTGCTTGCCTGTGCAGCACAGCACCCTGCTGCCACTGCTCCTCCCTGGAAAGCACCCCCATCCACCAGCCTAGTCACTGCATCCCTGGGAGAGTCTGCAAGGAACATCCTTCTCCAGCCTGGATCCTGTCTGCCAGACATGCTGGACACAATCGGCCCTCTGACAGCACAGCGCTACAGCCCCAAAAGCTGGAGCAAGGGGAGCTGCCAGAACAACAAGGAAGCCAAACGTGCATCCCTATGGTGCTCACCCAGCTGTCCCCATAACCAGCCACACAGAGAAGACTGCTGGCAGCTAGTACCCAGGTAGCTGCAACACCTTTGTCATTGTCAACTTTCCAAGAGCAGCAAAACCCAGCCTTCTAAAATGGAAAACACTTTAATTGCACAGGGACCCTGGGGCAGTTCCCCGACACCAGGCAGCCAGAGCAGAGGGACAGTCTCCACTACATCCCTTCCCTGTTCAGTCACTCTGCAAGCCACCTTGGTCACCTGCCAGTGCCACAGCGGCCTCATGGAGGCCCCAAAGGCCTCACCAGGCACCCACCATGGCCCTGTGCCACCCGCCCAAACTGGTCGGACAGAAACCACAGGGACCACTGCCAGCTGTATGCCACCGCTGCTGCAGGGCAGGCACAGGGACCAGGCACCTCCCTGCCCCTCACAGTGAGCAGCACCCATGGGCTGCCCGGCCTGGGACAGCACAGGGGACAGCATGGTCCTTGTCCCTCATGGAGAAGGTTGAGGAATGGCACAGATACAGGCTGTTCTGCACCCATGCCCAACCCACTGATGCCACCCATTCTCCCTAGGGTAGGGCTCTGGGACAACATGCTGCAGCCAGGAGGGCTATCCATGTTAGTGAAATGAAAGGGGTTTGACAGAGCTCATCCCTGCTCCCGGGAGGGATAAAGTCCCTACATTGACCCGTGTATGAGGTTTTGAGTCAGGACTTCAAAAAGCAGGCAGCTTCAGCCTAGAGGGTCAGGCCAGGACAGATGCTCTACAGACTCCTGGTTCCCTGACTTACTCGCTAGAAAACGCATGGCCGCCCAAATCTCTGGAGGGGCACTCACTCCTCTTCCCATTCCTGTGATACTCCAGGAGCAGAGAGCAGATTCACCTGTCTCCTCTAGCCTCCTCCCTGCCTCTCACCAGTGCAGGAGCCCAGTACAACTCCTGTGCTGTGCCCGGTGGGCAGCTCAGACATGTGATGCTGTGCTGGCTCTCTCTGCATGCTAGGGCATGCTCTGCCTACAAGCAATGGCAGCACTGCTGAAAAGCCTCCTGGCAGGGAACTGCATGTATCATCGCCTGGTTTAGTCACTTCAAAACAATCTGGTTAGTAAGAGGGAGAGGAGGGAGGAAGACTGTACCCCGGGCAGGGATTGCATATGGAAATACCGATGAGATGACACTGTTCTCTGAGAAGTTTTGGAACAACTGGAGGAACAATAAAACATTGCAGTTTCCATCCACACAGCTGTATCCCATGGATAAAGGAAAGCAGGAATCTTACTGGAAGTCACATCTGATTCCTATCTGTCTATCCCAGATCAGTTGTGATGCTGAGGAGAGACAGGCTGAACCCTGCCCACTAGAACAAAAGGAGAATGCACGAAGCAGAGTGCAGCCAAGGCAGTTGCTGAACCCCAGTGGGCAGCAGGCAGCCCTGCCCCAGCAAGGAGCTGGCAGCAAGGAGCTGCCTGTGCCGACGTCCTCCTCTTCCCCCTGCCCAGGGTATGGTGTGAGCCAGAGCTGTGTGCTGCTGGCTCTTGGGCTGCAGCTAGTGTTACTGCTCTCCCAAGGAAATCCTGATCAAAAGACCAATGATTCAGTAAGGTTCTTGTGTTTTGGAGTATTTGAAAAGGCAGTTCTTTGCTGTACCCTGTGGAGCAGCTGATCTCTTACACTATTCTGGGGCAAGTGAGTTTTGCAAGTAGAAATCTCATCTAATTAGTTGCAAGAGTTGGACTCTGAGTCAGTACTGGCTGGTTAGGATACTCTCCTCTAACTGAATGGAAGCCAAAAATTTCTGTAAAGCCTCGTTTCCAGCCACATTTTTGGGGTTAGTAGCCAGAAAACCCAAGGACATCAGGAAAAACCCTCTAGAAAACAAAACAGAAGATGGCTTTTGTGGTTGTCCTTTGCACTGGTGCGTTCTGGGGAAGAAGGGAAGGTTTTGCTCTAACATTTGCCAGGGGTGGATGTCTCTGGAAAGCACACGTTTTTAAACTCACATACTTAGAAAAAGAAAAAATGACTGCTTAATGCTCAGACCAGAGGTGCTGGTACTAAGACTCATTTGCAGGAAGGAAAACATGGCAAAATTGAGGAGAGACACATGTGTGCAAAGAAAGCAGTATGAATGAGCCAGAAAACCTGAACTATATCCCATTGCCTCATGATGGATTGACAAGCTGCTTCCCACCTCTCCTCTTTGTTTCTTTCCCATCCTGTCTCCATGCAGCATTAAAAAGACAACACTTGGCCAGGATAGCCATGAGCTATGTGTCCAGTGCCCCCAACAAAGTGACTGCAGCCAACATGTTGCCACAGTGCAAGCACTGGATGATGTTCCAGCCTCTGTGAGAGGGGTGCAGAGGAGTGGGATACTGAACACAATGCCAGAGTGTCATGGAAAATTGTCATATGGACATCACAGCAGCTGAATTTCTTCCCCTGTCAAGAAGAAAACTCTGGGATGGGCCTGGATACACCCTGCATTTTATTTCTATTTAGTCTACCTCCTTGGACAAAGGGACATGATCTGGGGCCAGGGGAAACATAACTCCAGCAGTACTATGACCCTCTCCCAGGAAGAGAAATGGGATTAAAGATTTCAGGGTCAGGAAAGCATTAGCATTTGCCAGCCAGACACGGGCAGATTCACAACGTGACTTTCGCACTGTCACTGCAGGGCTCCCAGCACTTCTGAAGCCATTTCAGTGGCGTGTCTCAACCTGAAACACGTCGCTGCCAGCGCTCTCAGTGCAAGTCCGGACTGGGTTCACAGGCTAAGGGAAAGGGTTTTTTCCACATTAAAGACCTTCTCCCTGTTGACAGTAATAAACAAGGGAAAAGAGGAGCCGATCCTGTTCCTGCGGGCCAGGTTACTCACATCATGCAGTACTTGGGGCACGCGCATGGGAGAAAATAGTAGACAGCATACAAACACAAGAAAATGTTTCTGCACCAGAATATCTCCCCATCTATCCTGTCTCCAAGGGTGGCCAAGAGCAGGTGCCAGAGCAGAGCACAGGCATGGGGCAGGCAAGTAGCAGTACTCACCAGAGCCCCACTAAGCACATAGTGCAGGGCCTCTGCCTGGACCTCCAACACTGGTTGGACAGGGCTGTGTCCTGCTCCAGCCCCATTGCATGCACCCTGATCCCTCCAGCCACTGCTACTGGAGCCATCCCATCAGACACGTCTTCCAACTTGCTTGCCCACACCCATTGCTACCCATGCTTCAGTCGCTAAGCACCAGTGATAAACAGGACATATCCCTTTGGCCAGGTGCCTGCCCAAGGCATGCAGGATCAAGTCTTCTCCTGAAAACCTCCTCTGGCAGCCGCTGAGCAGCATCACTTGGTTTATCATGCAGTGAGGCTTATCCCTGTGAAAAAAAAAAAGCACTCTCGCTTGATCAGCGTCATCCTCCAAGGAAAATTGGCACAGGTCTGCTTGCCCTTTGGTGCAGGTCTCTTCACAATACCCTTGGCTAGGCCCATGTTTCCCCCACACCACATTACAAAACCACTAAATCTTGAGGACAGCTTTGGCACATTGCTAAACATATGGTAGGTTTCTTGCTTGGGTTAGTCCAGCCACTTCTCCCCAGGGACTGGGCTCCCTGCCCCTGGCTCCAGCCAGCTTTACAGCTCTTTACATCCAGTTTGTCTTTTTCTCTGTCAGATAATCTCAGACACTGCAATCCATACTCAGTTTCTCATGAACCCTTTCTGCAGCCCCTCTGATTTTTCCAACATCCCCTTCCAGCTATCTGTGAGCTGACAGAAAATCAGCTCCTCCCCACTGCACCCCACCCCACAAAATTCCTCCTTTTAAGCTGCTATATAACGCTTCCAGCCCACCCCACTGGAAACTGCAGGCTCCCGGCCACTTAAATTGAGGAAAGTATAGGACTTTGGCAGAAGAGGATGTCCTGCCCTCCTCCCCATCTCCTGCCCTGTGTATCTGAAGGCACTTAGGATGCAGCAGCAGGTTGGATCCAGGACCCGGTCCTGCTCCCTTCACCCAGCCTCACAGGACCATAGCGCTGACTAAAGTGACAGCAGGGTCAGGAGAGTTAAACCTGGATAAGGGGGGGTTGAAGTGAGGTGAGAAACCAGCCCTGCACAGCAGTGACTGCCGCCGGGCTTCATCAGGGCTCCCCACAGCAGGGGGGCTGGTGGCAGCCCTGCCAAGGGGGCAGCAGTGGGCAGAGGGCCCCCAGAGGGGCACGCAGGCTCTGTTGGCATGCAGATGAAGGGCTGAGCACAGTTTCCGCCGCACCCTGCCTTCACCCTTCCTGTACCCCTGCAGGAAACAGCCCCACAGCTGCCCTCACCCGGGGCCGGCAGGACAGCGTCCACCGGCCCAGAGCGTAGTGGGACGAGCCCCGACGGCTCCCTGTGCCACCCGTCCGCGGAGCCCCGCAGCACGTACAACCATGCGTTGAGCCCTGCCAAGGAGAGTGGATGCCAAACCTGAATTACCAGCCCAGAGAGTGACTGTGGAACCCGGGAGCTCCTGTGATTTGCGGCAGGTTTTTCAGGTCCCCGCCTGTCACACACACTCGCGGATACTTAAGCAGTCACCCCAAGGACCTTCAGGGTTCTTGTTTTACTCACTTCTGGTCCCTGACAGCTCCAGGTAAGCACAGGCTTTGAGCTGGGGGAGCTGGGGTGGATTCACAGGTGTGGATGTTGGGGGGGGGGGGGTGATGCAGGGAGGAGCTGACCTGATCTTAGGGATGCTGGGGAGGTTGGAGCAGCATCCAGCGGGGCGGTGGTGGTGGTAAAGCTTCATGACTGGGGAAGGGAGAGAGGAATGCAGGCAGGCGGAGACCCCGGGGTGTAGGTGCTATGGGGACTTGCCTCTGCTTCAGCAGCTGCTGTGCTCTTGTTTGCTTTGTTCCTGTTGGATATTATCTTCTAAGAGGCTGAACGGGTAGTTTACAGGATGCATGACAGGTGGTTTTTCCTTATTTATGGCAGGGTCTGTTTTATTTTTAAAGCCTCCGTCCCACCTTATCCTGTGCACCATGCCGGCTGATGTTATCCACAGCCACCCCACAGCAGGAGCCCGAGCAAAATGAGGGACAGGACACAGCTCTGCAGCAGAGCAAGGGAGGGCTCGTTTGCATTGAGAACTGCTATTTTGATTTCCTGCCAGTGTCAGGAAATAGCTGCAAGCAAAAACCAGGAGCAGATGATGCCTCCAGTCGCATCCCAGCCCTGACAGCGGAGAGAGCAGTGGGGAAAGGGTCAAGAAACCCACCATCTGGGCAGGAGCTGCTCAGATTGTTTTCCAGGGTCTTCGGTGCAGTAAATCCTTAGAAAGCTGCACAGCCAGCTAGCTATTGTGTCTGCTGTTCAAAAAGCAAAGCTGAGCAAACAGAGATCATGTCTTTTCTGGAAAAGTGTCTGCTTTCTGCCAGGAGAATAAATGCTGACTGCACTAGCAGCGCTGGGCAGGCTTGCTGGGAGACAGTGGGGTGTCCTCTCCCATCCCAGGCCAGAGCTAGGAGCCCTGCTAGTAACCCCAGGGTATCTTTGGGGAGCAGGGACATGGGCAGAGGGAGGTCTCTCTCCACACCACTGCTCCTACCTCACATCTGGGTCAGGTCACTCAGGGCCTTGTCCAGCTGAGTGTTAGGGATCACCAAGAACAGAGGTGCCCCCACCTCTCTGATCCCTATCCCCACATTGGTCCTGACATACAAGACTTGTTTCCCAATATCTACTAAGATTTTCTCTTGCTGCAACTCATTCCTATCAGCCATTGCCTTTTGTGTGCTCCCTTCAAAATGGCCCTGGAGGTGCATTTAAACACCACATCAGCCACACTAAGAGCACTAAGTTGTGCACAGCAATGCTGGCTGGAGCCAAGCAACCAATGAACCCCTTGCATGCTGCAGCTAGTGGCTGCTTTCACACTGCTCCACCTAAAACCAAGACAGACAGACCCAAGTGTGAATTCCTCGAGGCTTTTTAGCTTGATGTGTAGGACAGAGCAAGTGTCACCAGTGCTGTGGTTTCACAGTGATAGTGCATCTGGCACTGTCATTTCCGCCAGGGTGAGTAGCTCTCTGCTACCAAACTCTCATCCTTGTGCCACCCAGGGGTGGCAGCAGTAGACATGGAACTGCTCACAGGGGTAAATGATGACCACAGCTCCCCACCCTTTCTGAAAGCTGAACAGATGGTTTAGATAATTTGCACTGGAAAAGCCTTTTTTTTGTTTCACCATGCCTGCAAAAGTTTGAGCAGAAAAAAGGCAGTGAGCGGTGGTCCTTTCCAGCAGCTGAGCAGAGCAGCTATGATTCTCTGTACTTCTCCCAGGCCTAAAGAAGCGTAAGCAAGAAAATTACCTCTCCTGTACAGGGAAGAGGTCCTGTGTAGCCTGAAGGCCAGGTTCCAGGCCTGGGCTTAAGCAGGGCTCCATTTAAATAGGAGGTAGGTGAGTAGTGGTCAAGGTACAGGCAGTCAGGACATTTAGGGACTCATAGTGCCCTCAGGTCCTGTCATTTACTCCCAGTTTTTAGCACCCAAGAGCTGCCAAGTGCTGGGTGCCACATGCTGCATAGTGTCACATGGCTCCTGAAGATCTCCAGGACCTCATGGAGTGATGTGGAGCTCCAGACACACCCAGGCTTTTGAACTTTTCCTGAAAGCCATCTCACAGCCTTGAGAGGTGGGAGCAGGAGCAGAGTGGAGACAAGGAAAAACTGTCAAGTATCACATCCTATGTGCTGGGGCATCCTGAGCTGCCAGCAGGTAGAAGATACTGTGTCCTACGGGGAAGTGCCTCAGGAACCTGGAGATTATCAGAAATAAACAGCTGTGTAGATGAAACATGAAAGCTGAAGCACACGTTCCCTATGCAAATCAATGCACACACATTAATGTACGTTTATGCAGCAGTCTGCAAGTGATGCTTTATGAACTGCCAGGACTTGTTGCTGCTGGTGTCCCATGAGCCAAAGGTGATGAGGAGCCCTGTGGTGACTGGGCTTTCTAGGAGAAGGGCAAATGGCTCAGTGGGGTGTTGATCAAGGAGGAGAGGAAAGAACTGTGGCCTGAGCTTGGCCTCATCTGCACTTTCACCTCATGGGGAGTCTGGCAGCCACAGTGCTGAGAGCAGCACCTCAAGTCCAGGGGATCTCTTTCTGCCCCTGTGTCTTTTCCAGAGGTCTCCAAATGCCCAAGGCAGGTGAGCAGCATTCACCTGGCCCCCACCAGCTCACACACACAAAGGAATGGACTTTGTTGTTGTGCCTCTTCTGATACGGATGTCTCTGAACTGAGTTGACCCCAGGAAAACTCAGGCAGCTGCTGCCACATACCTGTGCTGCAACACTCTGCTGACAAGGCCCGCTCAGTTTGCAGCCCCTGGGGTTAAAAGTGGTCTTTCCCCAGTCCATCCCGGTGTGGCGGATGATGCCCTCTACCAGCCTGCTCCATCCCACTCAGAGGTGTTCTGACCTTTCATAACCACTGTGTTACAATTGGTATTTACCAAGTGACTCAAACAGACAGGGCTGTTTCACAACCAGCCCTGGTCTATTTATAAGCCCCTACTCAAATGCCAAAGGATCCTTTTATTAGACAAAGTACATTACCCAAAGCACCTCCTGCAGACAAGGCTCAGTGGGACCTTTGCTTTTTGAGGTAAAGCTGAAAGAGGAGCTCTCCAGCCTCTCACGAATAGCAGAGCTGGCTCTCTGAAGCTGCAAGGCAGTTTTGGAGCTGAGCGCCAGCAGCAGCAGTGCTGTCAGCAAGTGAGAGCCCTGGGGTATTCGCTACACCCCAGGGTACTGAGTGGGCAAAGGTCAGTTATCTGTCAACCAGAAAAGCAGTTGGGTTTAAAGCCACACAGTAGGGTGCAGCATGCTGGAGGTGCCTGAGTTCCATCCCAGAGCCAAAGGGAAGGGGAAGCTGGACTGCAAGGTGGAGACAAGGCAGGTCTGCAGCAAAGAGCCCAGAGGAGTTCCAAGGTGGCCAAGAACCACCTTGGCAGCATAGGAGAGGGCACAGCACAGCCTCATAGAGACATGCCAGGCAACTCGGGTAGCAGGACAGCAGATCAAGAAAGGCCACATTTTTGCACCCAGCTTCTACCCGCCAACACCCCACAGCTTGGTTTCGGAAACACCAAAATGATTCAGCACCAGGGACTTCTGCATGCTTTGTGGGGACAACGCCTCACGGTGTACTTGACCGCACTGGCAGGCTCGACCCCCTGCCATGCGGAGGCAAACTTGGAGCCCTGCAGAAGAGAGGTGTGGGGTTTACCCAAGGCATACCATCTTGTTTTGCTTGCGCTTTTGTGCCAAGTCTGCCAGAGATATGGGCAAAGCACAAGTGGGACAAACGTTACTTGGAGAGAGAATGTGGGCTCCTTGCTTGAGTGCCTGGGCGACAGATGTGAATGAGATACCATCCTCCAAGGACTGACCCTTCACTTACACACCAAAACCATACAAACAGTTCCTTGGTGCTCAGGAACAACATCACTGTTTATGCCCATGCCTTAAATACCATTAAATATTAGCAAACATTACATAGATAGATAAATAGATAACACTAAATATTAACATAGATAACATTAAATATTAGTAAAACCAAAGCAGCTCACCTACTCATCACCAGCTTTGTGTGGTTTGGCCATGCTGCTAGGATGAGGACCAGGACACTGCTCAGGAGGGAAAACGGGGTGATTGCTGGGTCCAGACCCACACTCCCAAAGATCCTCTGGTTTATGATTCCCTTGCAAACTTGCCTGGTCACTGGGAAGAAGGGAAAAAAGAATAGAGATAATCTAGGCTGGATGCCAGGCACTGTCCCCTCACCCAGAGCATAAGTAGTGCTTTTTTCAATTAATGTCTTTAAATTAACCCCTTCAACAAGCCCGCTGCTGTGACATCACTCCCAAGCGACGCCCAGGCCTAAATACGGTTGTAAACAGGAATCGTCCCCACGGGAGTCACACTGGCTATAAATACAGCAAGAGGGGAGCGCTGAGCAGAGGACGGGCTGCAGTTCCTCACCAGCTAAGGATGGTGAGACAGCTCAGCTGGGCACTGGTGGTGTGTGGTCACCATGGTGGGGAAATTGTGTGTGTGTCCCAGGACGTGCCGGGGGCCTGGAGCTCCCGGCTGAGCTCCCTGGCATGCCTTTGGGAAGGGAGCTGTGCCCTGCCATGGCAAGCAGGGAGACAGTGGGGATAGGGATGGCAAACCTGGGGCTCAGCAAATGAGCTTGGTGTCACCCAATGACACTGGCCCCTCTCTGCAGCGCCTGGCCCCATAGCCCTACCCAAGGAGGAGATGGCCACAGAGAAGCCAGTGACTCCCACTGAGGAGCAGCTGGAGATCCTGGAGTACAACTTCTGCAAGGTGAACAAACACCCTGACCCCACCACGCTGTGCCTCATTGCGGCCGAGACTGGGCTCTCCGAGGAGCAGACCCTGGTGAGTGCGTGCCCTTTGCCCCTACTTTGGCACCAGCTCTGCTCCCCCTGCATGCCTCTGTATCCCACAAACTTCCCCCACATCTCCTGCTTGTTCTATCTCCAGCTTTCTGTCATACTCCCTGCACCCTTCTATTCACCTACATGCTTCTTACTGCACTTCCTGCACCTCTCATGCTTCCCAACTCTCCTGCACTCCTCTGTGCCCCATATGCACCCTATTTCACTCCCTGCACCAGTCTGCACCCTGCATACTCCTTACTGCACCCCACACCATCCCCACAAGTCTTCTCTGCATCTCTGCAACCTCCAGTGCACCCCTAACCCCACACTGCACCCACAGGACTCTACTGTACCCACAGAACTCTACTGTACTGCCACCTCTCCCTGCACCCCACATGTTCCTGCCCCTGCATCCCCAAAGCCCCTTCCCCTGTAATCACAGCCCCTTCATTCCCAGCCATGGCATCTCACTGAGATCTCTGTGCTCCCCTCACACACCCAGGAGCACCATCCCTATCCTGGGCTTGGATACCAGGCTAGCAATTCCCACAGCCAGAACAAGGGCACACCCTGAGGGTCACTGGCTGGCTGTGAACCCCTGAATATACAAGCCGCATGTGCTGTCCTTTCCTTTCAACCTATTTCTAATAGTCTTGGGTACCCAAACCACTGCTGGCTTTGCTGTCTGAAGAAAATAGTTATTTTACAACAGACAGATAAAACTGCTGCAGGATGTGCTGAGGGACATGCTCAGGCTGTGCACACTCCCCCTCACTGCAGTTTGCCACTTTAGTGTTCCCAAGCCTGCATGTCAGGCAAGTCTGTCAACCTTTTGAGGAGACACAGAGGCTTCCAAATGTCCCTTCACAGGGACAGGCTGCCACTGCCTCAGACTTACAATGAGTTCTGTGCTCCATTTGACTACCTGCAGGCTATCCTGGGCTTCAGAAACAAATGGCTCCTACACAATTCCTTCAGGTTGCAGTGCAGCCAGTTTAAATGCAGGTATTTTATAAGCTACTAGACCCATAGCAGCATTGATGGGTATAGAAAGGAAATTCAACTCACTGAAAAGCTAGCAGCAGAGAGCTGCCAAGCCTGGCTCTATCTGGGCAAAGACAAAGGGATATGAGAGCTGAGCAGGCAATGCCAGTACTTAGCCTGTCCCAGGGAAGGATGCTGGTACAACATCCATTACCCATGATAGCCCTTGGCTGGAGTGGAAAAGGAGACCCCTCCTTTACTGTGCTTTAATGACAGACAGGTACCACTGCTTATTTGAGGCCGCACCCTTGAAATACCTTTTCCTCCTTAGAAATGGCACTGCTCAATTTCTCTTTTTCTTAAAGCAAGTTGTAAACATAGGCCAGATATGCCCAGGACACATCTGGAGAAGTCTTAAAAATCTTCCCTGATAGCCATCTTTTTCCACAAATCCAGGGTGCTCCTAGGGATCTGAAGATGAAGGACATATTAATGACAGGATCAAGACTGGGATGGTGAGCTGTGAAGTGCTTGTATTGCATATAACACAGAGAATTATCACTGTTGTCATCTGGAGTGCTTTATTGGCTAGATATAGCAGCCATTTTAATAAAAAAATCAGTAAAAATGAGATGCAAAGAGGTGGTGAGTCAACGGGAGATGATGGTTGAGGGCAGGAAGTGAAATTTTTGGGAGGAGGCGAGGCAAGCAATCATCTGACTGGATGCAGTCCAAGGCAGTGCTGGTGCAAGAGCCACTTTGTAGAGAGCATCGTGGTTGTGTCATTACGAACCACAATAGCTTCAGAAATAGCCATGAACAAATATAGCAACAGAGTGAACAGCAACAAAGCAAATCACAGGCGCATTCCCAAACAAAAGGCTGAGCTGTGCTTCCGGGACATGAGTTATCTCTCTCTTCTTACGCAGGTAGCGTGGCTTTATCCAGCTGCATTTTAGCTAACATTCAAAATTGCAGCTGTGTTCAAGTGGCGTCAGCAGCTCTGGGAGTTGGCCTAGGGATGCTAAGCTACTGCACAGTAAGATAGCCATGCACATTGCTTGAAGACTAAGATCACAGTAACCCATTTTTTAAATTTATTTGATCTTAAATTTGCTGAGAGCCACTGCATTGTCCCTGTCATCCTTTCTGACACAGGTCAGCTTGTGATTCCTGTCTGTTTTGGACCTGCAGTGATTGTTTCATTGCTCCAGCCATTTAAGCAGATGCCATCCAGCAGCTCCTTAGCCAATTTCTTACTCTGTTTGCAAGAAAAACTTGGACTCACAGAAATAAAACAAGAACTTACCCATGCTGTCAAGGTCTGAAGTGAGCAAGAGAAATGAGTTTGAAAGCAGTGAACACACCAGTAACAAGACCATTCATTCAGTCAGAAGCAGCTCTCTTGATGCCTGTACTGCCTAGAAACAGTGCAGCACCTTGCTTCAGATAGCAGAACCATGAGTTTCCCTCACCTGGTCCCATGTACTGACCACATCTGCACCTTTAGCAAGGTTATTTAGAGGTTCACTCAGCCCAGTGCACTCAATCTCTTTCTCTTTTCTTTCCTCCAGAAATGGTTCAAGCAGCGCCTGGCAGAGTGGAGGAAGTCTGAAGGGCTGCCCTCACAAAGCGGATCTGTCAGGGACTAGAGGACGCTGCTCCAACCCCCAAGGCTGCTGATAATGATGGTGAAGCTCTTCAGAGTGGGTTTCCTTGGAGTTCTTCTGTTGCAATAGGTTTTGAGATACAAAGTAATACCCTGCTATTTAACATAAGTTTTATTTAAAGTGTACATAACCAGGAAAAAGTATTATATATATGTGTGTGTATACAGCTTCCGATGGCTGCATAACCTATCTAGTGATTCCCACCCATTAATAATGCCCTTGTGCCAGGCTTACAGAAAAGCTGCCATGAAAGGTTCAAACATAGAAGGGGTGGGAAAGATTTATTTTGCTTATGCTCCCCAAAGGCAAAGTATACATTCTAGCTTTAATATGCACACCATCCAGAGAGGGGGGCACCTGGAAAACAGATGTGTTGCTCAGATGATCTTAGTTAGCTCAAGATGCTGAGTCAGCTCTGGATATCAGCAAACTGAGTACCTACACAGTCATCAGACCAAGGCAAGCCTCTCTTGAATGTATTTCTCACACTGCTGTTAAAGGTCATCAAAGGGAAAGAATTGGCATTTTGGTTTTTTGGGTGTTTTTTTCCAATGCATTAATAAAAAAAACAGAGTTTTTTGATGAGAGGAGCTGTGTTACGTCCCTGCTTGTGCTCCTTGCCCCGATGGCAGGAGACAGACTTCTTCCTCTGGGAGAGCAACATTTCTCTAAAGACAGCCTCAGTGGGCATTGTGGGGTATCCCTCTTGCCACAGGGATAGCACACCGACATGGGCAACCTCCATGGGTCCACCCATGGCAGCCCACACAGCCTCATCCCTGAGGTGGCAGAGGCTGGTAGCACTGGGATTCCCCCACGGGTGGGGGCATCAGACTTCACCCTCCATCTGGCCATTTTAAAGCTTAAGGGATGCAGTTGCACTCAGGCTTTTGCAGAGAACCCAAACTCTGGTACATTGACCTGGTACAGGACAATGTATGGGATAAAAAATAACCAGCGCAGTTGCTCAGTGACCTTACCTTGTTCAAAAGGGTTCAAAAATCCTCTGCTTAGTGGATTATTGAATCAATTACTGGATCCTCTGAATAATCCTCTTGTGGTTTGTGGTGACCTGCCTCTATTCCTTTGGAAGGAGAATCGGCTTAACACAGGGAAGATCAAGATACACTGCCAGTGAAACTGCCACATGCTTTGTTTTATAACTTTTGTCCCTCCATTATTCTGCCTAGGGTTACACAACCAAGTATCTGAACCGCAGACATATAACCCACCTGTGTAACTTGTACCAAAGATGCATGCAAAGCAAAAGGCTGCTTGCCCATTCTCTGACCATTCTCCAGGCATTTGAGAGAAGGGGCCCCAAACTCAAGCCAACTCAAGGTACATTCCACCCCAGCATTTCCGAAGTCTGTACTAAAGCTGCATGCCTTATCAAATCCAGCCCTGGATCTGGAATTTTGCAGCCTTTTGTGTTTCTATTTCTGTCACAACCACAAAACTTTGAGTGTCACTGAGAAGATCTCTAAACTTTAGCAAAAGTTTTAAAAACCCCAAGGTCAGGAGTTGCACTGCATCAACGTGCTGCGTGCCGTTGGCTGTGGTTTGCCACACTTACTTATGATGTGAAAAAACAGTTACTGTGCTGGCTTCCCCCAGCAGTTGTTTCATCACTTCTTTAACTATTAGAGCTAAAAAATAAGAAGAGATATAAAATCCAGACATAATTCATCCTAGGGAGAAAGGCTTCCCACATTAGGTCAAATCCTGCTTTTTTCCCCTGGTCACTATTTTTGTGCTTATGGAATGACTGTTTTATTTAACTCCCCAGATTAGCCCAGTAAAAGTGGCAGCTCGTAAGAAGTGTTCTTGGTGGGTGCTGCTGTGTTCAAGTAGGTTTTCCAGTCTCAGCACAGCCTGAACAGAGTGATGTTCCAAGAGGGACACCTGGCACGAGCAGAGGGCTGTGCTTCTGAGGGAGCTCAGCGCTTAATCGGACAAGCCAGTTCCTTGATCCGAGCAGAACAAATTGCCTTCTTAGCAGACTCCTTCACAGCAAAGGCATTTGGGTTGAATTGAGTCAAGTTCATAGGAAGCCTGGGGGAGTAAGGACAGAGCCGGTTAATTCCAACTGGAGCAGAGCCAGCTGTCAAAGCTGCCTGCCAGTTGACACACCTCCACCTGCTCCCTGCCCCGTCCTGGGCGGACAAAAGCAGTCATGCCTCGGCTGCTGTCACCAGGACGCTAGTGAGAGCGGATGCCCCATCTCTCACTGCAGCTGCCACAGCCACTACCACCAGGCATTCCCTCCCTCTCTGTGAAACACCATACCCAACACTTCCTGCAGCCCAGGTTGAGGCCAGCTGTATCATGCTGGGCAGCATGAATTTGCTACACTGCGCCATGTGTCAGCTGGTTGCTTTTTGTAATTGCAGCTAATAATTACAAAGTCCCAGCCAATAGTTCCCACTGGAATTAGAAAGCTCCTATTTCCCCTCTTTTGATTCTTCTTCCACCTGAAAAATGCTGTTTAAACCACAGCCCATGTAGCAGTAACACACCCAGCCATACAAAACCCATACATTTTGGAAGTGAAAAAGCAGTGGCTTAATCACACTCCATAAATCCAAATCAACAAGGTACCATGGCCTGCATGAAATGGGCTGACAGCTGATCATTTCTGCATAGGAGAGAAGCAGCACCTACCTTTTGCAAGGCTGGGCCAGTTCCACAAACCTTGGTGTAGCCACTGCCTGCTTTGCAGCCTTTGTCACTGACCATGCAGCATCCCGCATAGGCATATAATCAGGATGCAATCTTTTTGCCATAGCCAGCTCCAGGGTTCGAGGGCTAGCAACTGCCTCCTGAGCAAACTTGGAAACCTGTGGAAGAATGGGGAGGAAGGTCCCTACAGATATGTTCCTGGTATTCGATGGTGACCAGCCTGCAACTCAGTGTACCCAGGTTCACAGCTACTGACCACACACAGGTGGAACATGATCCTGTCCATGCTCTGCACGGAGGACAAGTCCGGCTCTCCAGCCCCGGAAGCAGCTACATCAGCGTCACGGACAGCAGCACATCCAGGGCTGCCATGAAGAGAGCCCCAGTGACTGAGCCCCTGTACTCTCCCCTCTGCCCAGCATCCCTGCCATGCACAGCCCCAGGTGACGCTGCCTTACCGGGCGAATGGCAGATTCAAAAGGGCCGTACTCATAGCAGCAGGTCACCTTCTTGACCCAGGGCTCTGCCAGCTGCTGTATCCGTGAGGATGCTCTGGCCAAGGCTGCAGCATTTGTAACCTGTGTTGGCACCTGCATGGGTTCAGAATGGGGGAGGGATGTGCAGACACACAGCTTGTCCACAGCAGCTCAGAGGGACACACTCCCTTCTCCAGAGGGATAAGCACCCAGCACTCTTCCTCTGCAGACATGGTTACAAGAAGAAGCACTCTCACTTTCTCAACATGCATTAGTTTTCTTTCACCTGAACTGGAAGGTAATTTTGGCACTATTGGGATTTGCACATCTTATCCAGTATTACTTTTTTCCCCAGCTGTCACCCACTCATAGGCAGGAGAGGAATGTCTGTAACCAGAGCCTCTGCAGCCAGGTGAGAGTGCAGAGAGATTTCTTCCAGAGTGATGTTTTTCATATTTGTCTTCCTGGCTGAATCAAATAATTTCCCCTCCTAAGGAGAAACACTCAGATTTCAGGGTAAAAATACTGGTGCAGTTAACTGCATTCCTACAGCAAAAGTGATTACTGCTCCAGCATGGGACATCTTCCCTATTTTTCACAGGGTTACTGATGCCAAGTCCTGCTCCAGCAGAGCCCCCCTTATGTCCCAGCCCAGAGACTTCATCCAGAAAACTTAGCCTTTGCCATGGAATGAGTGTAATCTGAGATTGCCCTTTCACCCCTGCCAAAGCAATGACTCACCTAAAATGAGCAAGTTCAGAAATATGTCTCTAAATCAGGCTAATCTGGTAAAACACTGTTAAAATCTATATATTGTTTGCAGGCTCATGCATCCTATATACACAGCACAACTACTCAACTGAAAACAGAACAGTATTCCCTAGGAGCTGAACAGGCCGTTCCCATCAGGTTTCTCCACTTTCCCAGGCTGCTTTATCAGGGGATATGCAGCCCAGATGCCTTCCTTGGCTCCCCTACTATTCTAGGCTGCTCCAGCCTGGCTGTTCTCTGTCCCTCAGCAGTGAGATTTTCAAAGACAGCATCTCATTCCAAAAAGGCAATTTCTCTCAGCATCACAAACCCCAGCAGAACCACAGTTTCTCCCCGCCATAGCACATGCTGGGCACATCCAGGGGCAGGATACAGGGTTTAAAAACTCAGGACAGTTTTCTGCATCACTGTCCCATCCAATCTCACTCAAACAGCTCCTCACCTTTTTGGCCGGCAGGAACTCTGGGTGTAGCACCTTCGGCTGGGCAAGCTCCAAAATCCGTGGGGAGGCCTTACAGCTCAGTGCCGCCGGTGACACAGGCCATTCAGGGGACGTGCGAGGTCTAGAAGCAGAGAGTCACAGCACCACCACTCATGGATATTTCCCCACACTGGTTAAACCAGGCAGCAGCAGGGATGTTTAAGTCTCACATTTGCTGCACTAGAAGGAAGCTTTGTCTTGTGGCTATTTCCAGTGCAGAACCCACACATACTATGACAAAGACCAGATGTCCTAATCTCAGCAGAGTCCCTGCTCTGCATTTTGCCCTCTGTTATACCCATCCTCTGTTCCTGTATTTGTTACTTTAAGGCTGGACTAATGCTGTAAGACCCAAGGGCCTTCCTATAGAACCCTACAGTCTTTCTGTCCTCTCACCTTTGCAGCAGGTAAGCAGCCTGGTATTGTTTAGGTTCAGCCAACTTCATCAGCCGATCAGAAGGGAAGCGAAAATCCACTGGTGAGGGATGCTCCCAGATTGTTGATTCCCGTCCACGGCCATACAAGCAGAGGGGCCTGAAGGAACAGCACAGAAAAGTTAGTAAACTGACAGAGAACTTGGTTCTGGTAGATGGCATCCTAAGTTTGGTTAAACAACCATGCCTGTTACATGTACAAAAGATGGCATCAGTGCACATGGTAAAGCCATGAACAAACGGGCGTTTACACTTGAGATTTCCTGGTAAATGCTGTTTGCATATGCAGAGTCCTCTTTTAAGCATCGTCAGTGCATTGCTTTCAAAGTCTAGGCCTTTCCCCGGCCCATTACTCCACAACACAAACCCAGCAGCATCTCTTGTTCAGGTCTGACAATTTAGAAACCACTTTGTTGCAATGGGTTAATAGCCATTGCAGCTCCTTTCATCTTGGGATCTCCCCACACTTGCCTAGTGCATGCTCATCCAGCTTTCCTTCAGCCACAACCATTGAAGATGCCTGTCATCCCCAGAGAAGAGGTGAGCAAAAAGGCAGGAAGGGCTGTCAGGTAGACACCATTAGTCAGAGGCAGAAGATCTCAGGAGGATGAAGGCCCTTGAACTGATGACAGTGGCAGAGGAGAGAATAATACAGACACACATGCCCTGACATCACTCCAGGTAGAGGAAAGCCAGGAGTACAACACAGTTTAATATGCATTCTTCTTGCTCAGACTTCTTACAGACTAGCAACCACCATCTTGTCTCCAAAAGAGCTTCATTCCCTCCAGCCAAGCTACAGAAGATACAGATCAGCTGCTTCAAGTAATGCAGCATCACCCAGCACCACCAAAGCTTACATTTTTCACATTGTTCTTCACTCCTATAACCCAAACATGGACTAGTTTTTTTACCATGTAGTGACAGCAGAGTTTTAATTCAAGGCAAGAGACCTCGATTTCTACCAGCCAGCAAGATGCTACAAGATTTCTCTGTTCATAGCACTTCCTAACCTTTAGCCTCAAGATTTAGGCCAAGTTCCAAGAGGATGCAGGGGATCACTAATTGTGCCCAGGTGCCTGGCTGGGCTGCATCAGCCCCAGTACAGACAGGGAACCCTCTAGGGACAGATAGTCCCTCTGTACACACAGGTGTGACACAGATGTTTCCATTAAAGCATGCACACATGCACATGATGTCTCTGCTTCCATGCCAAAGCAGAGCTGTTGACTGGGGGTTTTGTTACAGCAGAGGAATATGTTCCCAAGTGCTTGGAAACTGAGATCAAGGCTGGCTCTTACGGCAGTTGATCCAAACCCAGAGCAACCACCACATGTTGGAGAGGCCCTTTTCACAGCCAGGAAGCAGGTACAAGGAAATAAAAGGGCACCAAAACTCAGCACCCCTCAGTTCCTCCTCATTTTGGAAGTCAAGCACTCAGGGTGATTATACTCCCATAGCGCTTTCTTCCCTGCTACAGATGGCCCCTGTTCCAAGCACCAGTACAGCCTGGTGGTTGTCAGTGGCATGGAAATCGCTGTGGGGCAGCAATGGCAGGAAAAGAGATGGCATCTCCCTTTCCCTGGACCTACTAAGTCCCTTTGCTTAGTCAGCACCCTCTGAGCTGCCTCCTTCCCCAGGATGTGCTATCACATTACTGACCTGTACGGGTTCTTGCCAAAATCTTGCTTGGGCTTGGCCAATTCCAGTATCCTTGCGGATGGTCTAGCTGTCATAGCACGCCGTGAAGTGGTCCATATCGTCTCTTGCTTTCCCCAAACAAGCCTAGCAAGAACAGCAAGGGTGTGAAATTTTAGGAACATGCCCAAGTGTGAACTGTGCTTGATGGGGTTATCCTTCCCTGCCTGGGATGGAATACACATACAGTCCCTATGGCTACCGTCACCTGTAAAGTGCTGCTGCTGTTTCCTGAGCACTCACTTTCTCTGGCACACTGTCCAGAGTTAGGAAATGTTACCAACTCAAAAAGAAAAAAGCCTTCAAGGGATGAGTCTGGTTTTACAACTACCAGTAGATGTGCAGAAAGGGTCATTTCATTACATCTCTGAAACCCCTGGGGGAGTTTCATGATTGCATTTTTCTTGCCTCACTGTTACCACCTAGCTATACCACAAGTATGGCAGTAAAAATAATAATAATGTTATGGTCAGGGTGTGCCATGGAAAGTGGGTGAGGTTTTGCAGCACGTTAGTGTTTACTCTCCTGTGCCCAGGGCAAATCTGGAGTTGCTCATTCCCCATTGAGAGAGAGGCCATGACGGGAGAGGGTACCAGGGTAGTCAGGACAGGGAACAGCTGGGCAATGGGTTTGTGGAACCTTTTCCAAGCACAGTGACACCCATACAGACAGTGGAGAAGAGACATTATCTTCTCAGTGGAGAAGAGACTGTTGCCCTGGCTTGTCAAGCCATAGCTTGACCACATAATGCTGACAGCATCTCTGCTTCTAAAGCTGGACTGTGCTCTCCAGGATGCAGCAGCCTGTGACTCCAATGAGGTCCAATCTCCTTGCACCACTACGCCATCCTATCCTGCAACATCTCAGTGCAGCAACTCAGAGAGGACAGCAAAGGCAAGACTGGATCAAGCCCAGTTTTTTGATTGAAAGCAAGAAAGAGCAAGTCAAAGAGAGACCCTCATGCACTGAACATCTCCACCTGGATTTTTGGAGCCACTCCTGCTCTTGAGAGAGAAGCAGTAGCAAGACAAAAGCAAAGGGTCTGTACTGGCTGAGGTCCCATCCATCCCCAGCCCTTGAGCAGGGCTGCATTACCTCCTTACCTGAGGTCATTTGCACAAGCTGCTTTCTTGGGTTCTGCAAGTTCCCATATCCTGCCAAAATTGCAGAAAAGGACAAACATGCCATTTAACATACAGTTAAACCAACAAAGCACAAAGAAGCTACTGCTGTACTCAAAACCACATAACACACTCTCGAACTCCTCTGCCTTTTCCTCCATCTCTTGCAAGAGTGCGTTTAAGGGATCTCTCTCTCCTAGTAGTTTTCCATCCATTTAATCTAGTGAACTCATCAACCCATGGATTTTTGTGCTATTTCTTAGATTGCAGAGAGACAAATTTGCAATTCTGCCCTCATTGCAGAGTCCCTGTGGGACATTGCAGGGAGAGGGGGAAGGTATTTTCTGGTTAAAAACACAACATACAACCCCAGCAGGTAGGAGATGGATGATGTCTTCAGCCTACAGGAGACCAGATGAACAGAAACACTCCTGTGGTTTGCTCAAAGTCACCATGGAGACTTCCCACAGGGCTTTAGGAGCACAGGTGAAGCCATATTTTTTTATCGTTTTATTTCAGTCTGTTTAGCACAAGAGTCTCAGATGCTACAGAGACTCAGGAACATACATGGTCTGTGCCCTAGCAAAATCATAGTCATCATATAGTTTGGGTTGGAAGGGACCTTCAAATGTCACCTAGTCCAACCCCCCTGCAATGAACAGGGACATCTTCAACTAGGTTAGGTTGCTCAGAACTACATCCAGCCTGGCCTTGAATGCCAGCTATGGAAGTGCCTCATCATGGAAAAAGCACAGAAAGTGAAAGCCTGAGGCATTGCTTCCCTTGCTTAGTACCATCTGGCAATAAGGCAGCATAGAGCTAGAGAGGAGTGGGGACACAGAGAGAAGTGTTTGCTGACAGAAAACAGTCTGCATTGTGGGGACTCATCTGTGGTTCCTCTGATGAGGCTGATACCCCTTCCTGAGATGCCAAGCCCCAGCAAACGTTTGCCAGAGACCTCAGGACCACAGAGACCCTTGCAATGGCAGGCTGCTGTTAGAGCATCAGATGCCTGCTGATTTATCTCCCTGTCATGCTTAATAGACGGTCACAGCACTGCAAACAAGGGATCCCACAGAGGAAACTGCCTGTAGGACTTTGGCCCCCTGCCGCCGGTTCAAGACAGGACATGCTCAGGACAGCAGCCCTCATGTCAAGAGCTAAAACCAATTTTCAGCTGTTCATTCCTAAGCAGCTCCCCAGAGTCTTTTCCAAAGGTGCGAGGGGGTGAAGGATTACCACACAGATTTCCCCCCAGCCTAGCTACATTGCAGAGCTGGCACTATCCCTGCAGGCAGGCTCCTCGCTTCTCCTCCAGCAATGGCACAGACCCACCACATAGGCACAGCCAAGCCCAGCACAAAGTGTACATGGCCTTACTGACCCATATGACACTGCTGTGCAAAGCTTGCATCATGACCCAGCCAAGGAACAAGTCACACGTACATCCAGACCAGGTCTCTCAATTCACTTGGCAATTGTCTAGTATATTGGGGTTTTCCAATTACAAAAAAAAAGCTATTATTTTCTACTCTTTTATCATGGCAAAAGCTCTGGACACACAGGCATCCTCGCACAGGATGCACCTGCAGCAGTTCTGCAACTTGGCTGATAAACGGACTGCCCTTGCTCTTTGGTCCCGCTCCTGCTTTCCAGCAGGGAAAAAAAGGCTTTGCTGCAGGCAGGCATAGAAACACCTCCCCTCCTTGCCTGAGCTCACATGGACTAACTGCTCAGCCATCAGACCCATCAGATGTTGTTGGTCATGAGAAGCAGGCAGAACAGCAAACCCAGGCATCGTTTCCTCTGCATGTTTATCACAGTGTCATCTGAGATACTGACTTGCTGCCTGGTGTAAACCCCCGACCCAGCCCTCCTCGAGAGACACAGGGCTTGGCCTGGATGCTCAGCCAGGAGGTCAGGTCTGAGGGGTTCTTACCTGTCATGGGAGCATGCAGACAGGTAACAAGGAACTGCAAAGACAAGAAGAGGTGAATTTAAAAGCTTGGTAACACCCGCAGCTTGGACTGCCTGCTCTTCAATGTTAAACAATTGCAGGGTGGGTGGAGTCTCTGCATCTTCTCAGGATAGACTAGACTCCCTGGCAGCTATTTGTAAGGCTTTTCCCTGGTACCTTCCCGGGCAGCTGCACAGCAATGCATTTGCACGCGAAGTGTTCCCCAGCGGATGGGGAGTCTGGGAGCACCGCGTCTCCTCATCAGCATCCTCCTCTTGGGATGAGCAACAGGTACTGCTGACCCGCAGGCTGTCCCCAGCTCACCCCTTACCACTGCCCTCAGCCTGGGGGGGCTCGGTGGGCAGCGGCTGTATTAAACTGGGACTCTGCTGCAGCACAGAACAAGCCGCCATGCTTTGAAAGCGGGGACAGGAAAATACAGACGCGGTGGGGAAGCCAGGCACGGTTTCGAGGCTCAACCTGCGCGGTGGCAGCAACGGCCGGGCTGGCATGGCGCTGCCCAGCAGACGCTCCGGTGGCGCTGTGGTGCCAGGGCCCCGCCGCTCCCGCCCTCCCTCCCTCCATGCCGTGCCGCCCCGCGGCATCCCCCGAGCCCCGCCGCGGCTGGCTGAGGGGCCGGGTCACAGGGTCTCCGACCGGGAGGGGCTAACCCCCGCCACCCCACACGGCCCCGTCCCCACACACCGGCGCGCGGCCCGGCCGGCGCCATGGTGCGCGCTCCCGTCGCCACGGCAACGGCTGCTGAGGGAAGCGCTCCTGAGGAGAGATCCCTTCGTCCGGCGGGCCCCGGAACGGGAACCCGGTCGGCAGCAGAGGGCTGCGAGGGTCCGTCCTGCGGGAGGCTGGCCTCCAGGGTCTCTAGCCTCACGCCCTGCCCGGGTAAATGAGGCCCGGACCGCTGGTTTGGGTGAAGTTTTCTGCTTTATGCATCTGTTCAAAGGATGAAACCACACAACATTCATACAGTAATGCAGCCGCAGAACAGGCCCGTTACAGAACTTGCTCCTGGATCGCATTCTTGGAGTGTAATTCCAAGGACAATAGGAGAGTGACACTCATCAGGTACCCTTCCTCTCCCGCTGTGTAACACAAATCGCTTTCAAAAATCAACGTTTTTCACACGTAAGACTGCTTGCTTGAGAACAACCGGGACTAAATTGAAACAAGCCACTCAGCCCGATGGAGGAGTCTCCCACCTTCGGTGCCAATTTAACTTAAATGCTTCCAGTTACCACCTTAAATTACACCATTCTGTTTTTTCCCTGTAGGCAAAGAAACACTTAATGTCTTACTGCGATTGTCTTCTTGTTCTTACCTACTAAAGAAACAATAACCTACTCAATTTCCAGAGATTACTAATCTACCACTCCCTTAAAGGCTGGCTCCAACACAGCAACAACAAAAACTGTCAAAGATACTAACCACAGCACTTTAAATTTCTGACAGCATCAAGAAGTGAGGTCTGTTTTTCAACAGAACAACACTGGTAAGAGGGCTCTGTAAAACCTGAGGAGTACACATGTTTCAGTTTAAACCTGAGACACCAAGCCAGGTTAAATTCATTGGATGCAGCCTTGTTCCACTGGAGTGGATGCTTGATTCCCACCTGGCAAGAAGCCAGCTCAGCTGCCTAAGCTACACATCCTCTTAACTCTGCTATCTGGGAGACTACAAATACGCTAAATATTAGACTTACTTCTCAAATGTATTTTCAAACCACTACAAATCGGATTTTGTTACCAACTAGACACCATTTTCAGGGGAATCCCACACTCAGAAGGAAAAGATACCTGTACATTTCAGTTGCCACATGACAAACTGACCATACACTAACACTCTGTCTCCCTCAGCTGCACAGATCACATCGTAGGAAAAGAGCTGTCACTGTGCTTCCAAAACCAGCTGTGCTATCAGCTCCTTGGCATCCTTCATGTTGGAGGAGATCTCGGAGCCATCTTCTGCCACATGGGTGCCAATCAAGAACATCTTCCTGTTGTCCCCAATATCAGACAGTGCCAGAGCATCATGGATATCGGTGATGCAATATGCACCTTCAAGGTCCTGATACACAAAACAGAAACAAGACCATTAGTTGCAAGAGGTAGCAGCACTATTCCCATGTTGCTGTTCTGTTTCTAGACATTTCAGTGTTAATGACACCAGTGTAACACTACCCATATGAGCCAGACAAAAGTCTTGCTGCCCAAAGTGCCCAGCAAAGAGCTACAAGAACAAGGCAAACACGCTCTGCATGCCTTCTCAGCTACCACTGTGGGACCTAGAGTAACAGCAGTAGCACCTGTGTTTGATGAAGCCAAAGCACTCAAGAGTAACACTACTAGAAACATGCCCAAGTTACCAGAAATTTAGGAGGTAACAAGGCAGAGTGAACCGAGCGCACAGCTCTCATAACAGAAAATCTGGGCTTAAAACCCCTGGGCTGTTCTGCCATCTAACATTGTACCACAGGCACAATCCTGCCCCAGGTACAGCACCACTCTTGGGAGAAAGCACTGCCTTATGAGGAAAGCTGCTCTTCTCTCATGCTTCAGCAGCAGCCTTAGAAGCAACCAACCTGACAACCTGAATGCTAACAACGGTGCTTCACTTTTTGGCTCCTGCTAGGTAAAGTGGTACTTCTAGACAGACATTCAGAACAGAAACTTAACTCCAGGTCTGACTATAGTCTCTCCTGCAGCTCTCAAACCTTGCAACTCTACAGTAGTTTCTACCATGATTTCCACCCACAGTTCTGACTGCACCATCTCCAAGCACAGGACCTGCATTTTGTAGATCCAAAACACAACCTCAGACTATTTTCTTTTGTAGTCAACAGGTGTCCCAGAAAGACCCCCAGCTCCCAGTCATAAGGCCTGCTTTGAAAGGCTCTGCTGCTGTTTTCAGAGCTGCTGCCAGCCCAAGCTCAGCTAGCAGCAGGGAACTCTTACCTGCTTGTTGGCCAGAACCACCACCGGCAGGGTGGAGTTGCTCTGGATCAGTTGATGAAGCAGCTGTTTTGCCACAGGCAGTCGGGCATGATCAGCCGAGTCCACGACATAGATTAGCAACAGCACTTTGGGCAAGTACATCTTCCAGTATGAACGCAGAGATTCACTGCCCCCGACTGGAAGAGAAGAGAGCAGCACAGGGTTCACCAAGTAATCCAAGCAGCACTGCTCCCTCAACCGCAGATAGCAGGCTTTGGGCTGAAAACCCATGGTGTCTGGGTTTTCAGTATTTGAGCTACTATATATAAGACTGGAAATAGCTTTATTTTCCCCAGTCAAGTTACATGCAGACATATGTGTACACTCTGGGAACAAAAAAACAAAATCATTTTAAGCTCTTATTGTGAGAGGACTCTGGGTTCAGTTTCTTATGCTTGCTTCCTGCCTTGTTGTTTCTTGCTCTCATGCAAGTAGAAAGAGGTCCATAAACACCACGGGATAATGTCCCCACATAACCCACCTACACATGCCTGCCTCATCTTCAGACAAAGCAGGCCTACAATTTCCAAAGAAGAAATTTAGGTCTGAGGCAGGGAGGGCTTTCATTGGGTTTGTATGACACTGGGGACTAGTTCAGAACTCCCACAGCTTTCATACTGTCAATAACCAGAGGTGTTTAGGAGGTGAGAAAACTCAAGCCTCAGCAAACCCTTCAGGCAATCCTTGGAAGAAATCTTTGCACAGGTTACATTTTTACATGAGCTCTTCACTGCTGGATACAGAGGAAAACTGTCCACCTTCAAAAGCAATTGCTTTTGCACATGCAGCAAGTTGTTCGAGATTGTTATTCCCATCTGGGGACAAAAAGAGTTTGGTGAGATTAGTAGGAGTAGGAAGAGTTAACAGTATATTAAGCATTTCAGATGTGTTTTCCACTCTTCAGGTCTTCTCCCAGGTATACTGCAGAAAGACACCTTCAAGAGTACTGAGGTACAAAAAAGGTCTAGGTGACTCTCCCAAAGGTAAAGTTTTCAGAACAATACAACTGCAGTTCCCTATAATGTTCTCCTGCCTTACATGGGAGCTCTTTTCAAAACTGACTTGCTAGTCAGCTGTCTTTTACTGCCCTTTTGCTGCGACTTTTACTGTGACTTTTTTCAGTTTCAAAACAATTTTACTTTCACTAAAATAAAAATGATCCAGTAGCTTCAAGAACATAGAAAGGGAAACATCATTTCCTGCTAGGGCATGCCTGCCTCTTCTTCAAGAGCCCCAGCATATCTGCAGGCAGTATTGCGAGTCTGTTGCTGTGGAAAGGAGCCAAAGGGCTGTGACTGATCCATCACACTTGGGACAGATGCCTGTGATTCTGTACTGTGATGTTGTGGGGCTTACCACCGCTCCCTTTGTTAAGTGCATTCATGCATAGCATAACCCAGGGGTCAGCAGCTCTCACAGAGAACGCTTTTTTATCCTGCAAACAAGTGGGAACCCAGCAGAAGCCAGAGGCAAGACATCACCCACTTTTTCTGTATGATGGTACAAATAAAAAGATAGAATGTTGATTTTCTATCCATCTAAATCAGCAAAATAAAACCCCTGCTGTCTGCTGATCACCTTGTGCCATGTGATCACAGCACAGGCTGCTAACCCCTGGACTAGGCGATGGTATAGACTGGATAAGTAACCAGATTAAAGAGCCATGCACGGATTTACCTGGCTGAAACTGGACTGAGATATTTCACTTCCCATGGGTCAGATCGCAGACAGCACATCTCAGTGACTACCAACCTGGACCAGAGAGGGAAGGACGACTCAGAAACAACAAGCTCTGCCATGGGGTACATGGCTCTGGGCCCAGGCCATCCCCAGGCAGGAGCAGAGATACATTAGGTTCCTCTGGGCTCAGCTAGACAAAACACCTCCCAGTAGGAGACACAAGTATCCCAGACCTACTATGACAGGGGCACAGAATACAAGCGTTTCTGGAGAGACTGTTTCCCCAAGACATGACAGACACGCCTGTGGTAGTACTACTTGGAATGAGACTGCCTTGGTGGCCTCATCCTCACATCCCAGAAACTTACCTGGGAACAGCACAACTCCTTTAGACCTGCTGACAAAGGTACAGAGGCATCTATGGGCTAGCTGTCAACTGAGCCAGTTGAGCACTGGTACAGTACAGTGCAGAAGTAGCAGGAAGCAAAGGGCAGCTTTTGCCTCCACAGAAGGCAAGTACTCTCTATACCAGGGACTGACCTGAATCCAGGGCCTCCACTTTGCCCTCAGCTAGCTGCACCTAGTACAGCTCTGACACCCCAAAAGCACCACAGGAGATGTTCTCTGCAGGCACAGGCAATACCCAAAAATCAGTGCTAAGGACAACACAAAGCTTAGTACGTACCTGCAGACATTAAAAAGTCATTAAAGACTAAAAAACACCACTTAAGAGTCTTTTGAACAAAAAGGTACAAAGTTTTTCTACCTCTCTTCTTTCAACTTATTATTTATTCCTCTTTGTCTCTTGCCCTTTGCCAGGCATAAGCACCAAGGCAAAGCTGTACAACACACAATGGCTATGAATCACAACACAGGCCTTACTGGGGACACCTCTGCTCTGGGCTGGTTTCATACCATTAGGCTTGTTATCCTTCTCTCTCTGGGAACTGAACTCCCTGGAGGACAGGGCTGAATGAACCTCCTCTAACTCCGGTGCATCATTTCCTTCAAGAAATGGGGTGGGAAAGCAGAATCTTCAAGGAGAAAATAATCACAACTTCATGTTATCAGCGCAGGCACAAGGGAACCCGATCCTGAGGGCACAGGATAGGAACATATTTTATGCCCAGTACTAAAACACGTTCACTCACTCTCCAGGAACTCCATCTGTAACTCTTCGGTGTTAACGCAGATGGCGTTGAAGCCCTCGGTGGGAGCCACGCTGCGCTTGACATGGTTAGTTGCCAGGGAGTGGAGAACACTGGTCTTCCCAGCCCCATCCAGGCCCAGCACAAGTATCTGCTTACCGTGTCCTGTACCCTGCAAAGCAAGTGGCAGCACGCTTAGCCAGGCACCCCGGGCATGTGCAACGCTCAGCAGGCCTGGGGCAATAAGGGAGCTTAACACGGGGTCGGGGGAGAGAAGCGCAAAAGACACTTCACAGTGGAGACAGTGCTAGGCTCCTGCGGCACAAGTACAGGGCCGCAGCGCCGGTCGGGCCATGGGACGCCGGCGACATCCCCCGGCCCGCCCGCTGCCTGGGGAGGGAAAGCGGAGAGTGCGGTCCGGGCTCCGCCGCGCTGCCGAGCAGGACGCCAGGGCCAAGCGGCCCGGTATCGCATCCCCGCCAAGAGGCTCCGTGCGGCCCCGTTAGCGTTGCCCGGCTCAGCGGCCTCGCCCGCTGCCCCAACCCAGCCCCGGTACCTGATCGGCGGCGGCTGTGGCGGCAACAGGGCAGTCGGGAGTCGGCGCTGCCCGGCTCCGGAGGCGGACCCAGAGCCAGGCCGCCACGGCAGCGCCCCCGGTCGCGGCCAGCGCCGCCCCCCACAGCGCAGCGGGCCGCAGACGGGCGCCCATGGCCGCCCCGCTCCAGGCACAGACAGGCGCAGGGACGCACAGCGCTCCCCCTGCAGCCCTACGTGCGCACGGCTCCCCCTGCAGCCCTGAACGCACGGCCTCTCCCCCCCATCCCCGGTCAGCTGGGCTGTCAGGCTGAGAACTTACCCGTGTCGGTAAAGCCGAGAGCGAACGGCGTCACTGGCGGCCCTCTGCTGTCAGAGGAAGGCGGGCGTGCCCCACAGCTGCTGCCGCCCGCATAACAGCATTTGCTTCATGGGCACCCATCTCCGGGGGAGGCCCATACAGGGTACTGTCCAAGCAGCCTGGACAGGGTTCCAGCAGTGCGACAGGGCAGCGTTTCCATCTGGTCGGTTCCAGCCAGGTTTGACCAGAGAAAATACCTGGAGAACGCAGAGTTGCATTCTCCCCCACTATCTCCTCTCCCTAAATCACGTCCTCTCACTGCAGGGTAGCACTCATTCTCCTGCAGTCACCAGCTGCTGGCTAGGAAGATGCACAGGACTCAGACAAGTCACTTAATCCAAGTGGCTGCTAGCCATTCAGAAAGCTGTTTTCTGTTCTCCCTTCTCACTTAGAGCACTATACATTTAGCCCCCCTTTCCCGATGCTCCCAGTGTACAGTCAAGGTAGTAAAGACTGTTTTCTATTCAGTAGATTTTTACCCCACAGGGACTCAGGGCTGTTTTTTTAAGCCACAGTTAACATTTTCCTTGCTCTCCCCCTCTTCAGTCCTTTGCTTTAAATTCTTTCAGAGACAGAAGCCTTTGCCTTTTGGTCTGACATAAGACAACACTCCCACTGAAAGTCCATGTATGAGAAAACGGTTTTGCTACATTCTGACCAAACCAGAAGTTTACAGAGGCGTGAGAGCTGCCTGTAGGGTGTTAGGAAAGCAGACACACCTTCCACCAGACCACCAGATTCCACCTGAGAAGCACAATGCCTCTTCCACTTAGCCCACCACCACTAGCCACTTCAGTTTAACTGACTCTTGTTTTGCGAAGCCTGCTAGAGTAAGGGTTGCAGAAAAGGGACACCGAGTCAGCTGCCACACATTTTGCCATGCTTTAACAGCCCTGTTCTCCCCCTCACATTATCTTCTGTATCATGTACCCAGATGTTGTTTCCCAAGACCCCTTTGTGCCTGTGCTCTTTGGTGATCAGAGACTGACTGCAATGAGACATACTGAATTATGCAGTCGGACACACTGTCAAATAAATTTGCTAAAGGCCTCAACATATACAGGAGGAGCACAAAACTACATTTCAAGAAGTTCTTGATTATTCCACATCTTTTAAATGTTTGGCAACATGGACAGATTTCTTCCTAGAGGCTGCATTTCAGTTTAATGGCAACACGAAGTCACAGTGGGGAGCAAGCGTAAGGAAGGTGACTGAGCAGACTGACCCATCTGAGTGCCTACCCCAGCCCATCTTCCCCCAGACACCCCACTGACAGGACAGAGATCCAGATGCCAAGTGTCTTTCTCCAGCACTTGCTTTCGACCTTTATTCTTCAGCCAGCATCACCTACTGAAGGAGGGAGGTTACATGTCCTGCTTTCTACCACCCTCCTTTAGACCCTTTCTTTTTCTTCTGCTGCTGTTTCTTCTTGGTAGCTGGAGCACCAGCTGGTTTTTGGTGCCTGGGAGGGATGACGTTACTTGTGGCCGACACAGCTGTACCGCTGCCAGGCCGAGGGGAGGTAGGTGGGCTGCTGGCAGTCCTACTGGCGTCCCTGCAGGGAAATGAAAGAGACACCACGTGGGTTCACAGCCACCCACAAGATGTAGCACTACTGCAGGAAGCTGACAGCAAAAAACAGCAGCTGCCCAGTAAGGTATGGGAGGGCACTCATGCAAGGAGATCTTAAATAAGCTTCAACATACGTCGAAGGGCTGGATGATGGGAACATAACTCAAAGGGCAGGCAATCACCTTCTAACTGATGTTTACTACATAGTGTAAGTCCTCAACAATGAAAGCAAGGCTGATTTTTGAACAGATGTGTGACAGCTCACACAACATGAGAAGCCTTTCAGCTCCCCACACTTAGGCAGAGCAAATCCAACACCCTTTCTCTCTCGTTAAGCACAAAGGCACCTTTGTGCCAGCCCTCCTCAAAAACACTGCTCAAGCCAACCCTGCCACAAAAGGCTTCTCATGCTTCTGTTCTGAGACAGCTGTATAAAGAGAAACTATCAGACAGCACTGGACCCTGCATTGCTATTATTTTAGAAGTACTTCCTTCTCTCAGATGCTAGTAAGTGACCATCTTGCTGTCAGGCCTCATATACATTGGGAAACCCTGATTCCAGCTTCAATAATCAGCATCAACTTAGAAGGAAGTGTTTTCCCACATCATGACTAATGGGTACTTACAGTTCAGAGGAGCCAGCTGTAGTTGAACCCTGAGTCCCCTTGCCAACCTGATCCTTCTTCTTGCCCTTCTTTCGGCCACGATAGTAGGAACGCTCTCGCATTGGAAGCCACCGCTCAGGGTCAGGAGTCACCTTAGGGTCATAGTTCTTAGGCAGCTTTCCTGCACAACACAGTGCCAGGAAATGAGACTGGGGTCAACACACTAGAGAGGCATCACCAAGGGATACATATAGCAGTCAGTAGCCAGGAAGTGCAAAGAGCCCAGCAACCCACACCATCCTATCAGAGTGCTGCTCTCACTTCAGTGGAAAAATGCCTCATCCAAACAAGCTGTCACAAAGATCTAAGCTCACATGAGCCCAGTCTTAGCAAAGAGCTCCAGCTCCTGGGGAGCTCAAAGCTGGCTATTTGAAGAAACAATCTGGTGAGCTCCATGGAGCTGTGTTGTGTCAACAGCTAGCAACTTACCCTTCTTTTTTTTCTTCTTCTTCTTCACATCCCCTTGTCTGAAAAGCAAGAAGAGAAACAGCTGCTGTGACACAGCATGGACACAGCAGACAAGCCAACTGAAAACTAGCTGTGGATAAAGCTGAACCATTCCCAGCTCTCTCAAAACTTGGTCTACTGCTACCTCACACTCCTTGCAGCTAGACATCGGGGGCCCTTTCTACCAGCCTGCTTTCCACAGCAATGCCCCCACCACACTAGGAGTGGTTCTTGTGCCACACCAAAGGATGACTGCACCAGAGGTACAGCAGACCGCTTTACCCTTGCTCTTTCTGCTGGTTGTCTCCAGTGAGCTTCCCAGCTTTCTTCCGAATGTAGGTTGCTCCGTGGGAGTTCTCCAGCGCATCGACATCTACTTTCAGTGATAGGGTATCCGAGGAAGGCAAGTGTTTGCTAAGACTGCAAGGGAAGAGTTCAGGGATGCAAACCGGCAAGCAAGAAGATAAACACCCAGGTTTGGCCAGATAGCAACACGCAACATCAGCTTAACAAATTCAGCCTGTTAGCAATGCAGACACCAGACAGGCTCATGGGGCTAGTTCCAGCTCTGTCACCAGTTTCTTATACAAGCTGGGATAAGCTGCTTAATCACCACCTGCCTCACTTTTCTTTATTACAGAGAAAGAAGCAGCAATTTCCTTTGAAAGCTGCTCAGGATGACAGTATGTGAACCTGATATTTTGGGTAACTGAGAGCTTCGCCACATTTTATAGGGCACAGTCCGGCGTTACAACCACAGGTTTCATATTCCAACAGAAAATACAGAACCTATTTTTGGTTCCATTATCAATTCTCAGAGAGAAGAAGGCCAAAGATAAAAGGATCCCAGAACCCACAGTAATCAAACCAACTAAGGAAATAATAGAGCTCCAGACAGCTTGACCTGGATATGTAGCTGTTCTGGAGAAACTGACTGCCTTCAGGTGAGAATGGGTCTGAATTGTCCACACAGCTGAAATAGAAGGGACCAATGCCCAAATAACCCTTTTTCTTTGCTCTGATACCACCTCAAAAGGATACACTTTAGCTTTTTCAGGGTCCACCAGGGAGTAGGCAGAGATTAGCTGCGCCAGAGTATGCACATCTTTTGGGTTTTGCCTTTGTAAGGGGAAAAAAAAAGGACCAAGTTACCAAGGTACACATTCATCCCAAAGACCAGCATCATCATGCAGTGCTTCCTGCTGCAGCATAGTTGTTGTCTGTGCAGACAGGCATGTCAGTCTGTGGTCTCCTCCAGAGCATGTCACCAAACATCACCTGTGGACAAAGGGAGGTGCACACTTCTCCACAGTATCATGAAGCAGGCAAAGAAAGGGAAAAAATCCCTCAGGTCCCAGCAGCAAAGACAAGTTAACAGTGTGCTGTCCCCCCAGTCTCAACAAGTGCATAATAAACACTAAAACTTAAGACATCCATGGTTTATATAGCACTAGAAAAACTGATGCATCCCTGTCCCCAAAGCAATCTTCAATGCACACAAGAGGCTTCTGGGACAGGTCAGCCAGGTTTTCAAGTATCAGCTTTGATCAAATGAACTATCCCCCCTCCTTCCAAAGCATGGCTTTGCACTGGAGCCCCTGTGTGACAGCAACTCTAAAGCATGGCTACCAGTCAACCAACGCTGTCAGGTGCTGCCTGGCACAGGGCAGATTGCAGACGTCTCTGGGTGGAGATCTGTTCAGCAACCACCCAACTCACTTCCAGAGCTCCTCCAAGTCGCTGATTGCTTCCTTCTTCCTGCCATGTTTTAGTTTAAAGTTGGCAGCTTCCCTTATCAACGACAAATGGACAGGAGACTTTGGCTGAAAGACACAGCAGCCGTAATTAGCTCCTCATTATCACAGCACAGTGCCCACCTCTAGCTGAGACCTGGCCCCAGAGAACTGAGCTAGCACCCTGTCACACTGAAAGCAGGCCACCTTTGCTCACCACGATATGAGGCAGAACTGCATGGGACAAGGCAGCTTGGTGGTCCACAACGTGTTCTAATCAGGGAGAAGAACTGATTGCTACATTTGAGCACCCACTGCCACCACTCTTGTAATCTGACTGGAGCTCCCCGTTTGCAATACATCTAAAATAATGAAAGTGTGATAAAACAAATGCTCCGAAAACAGCTCACTGGTCCCCAAATTCCCAACTGGATGAGTTGCTGTGGCTATGCATCAA